AAAAAAAAAAAAAAAAAAAGCAGAATTTCGGGAAATATAGAGTTTAAAAGGAAGAATCAAAGCTTGAAAACGAGAAGGAGTACCTAGTCGGACCGTTGGAGTGAAACGGCGGTGGCGGGGAGTGTAGAGTGACCGTCGGAAAAATCTCTAAAAATGTCAGAGTGAAAAACCCTTACTCGCTTCGTGTCCGAGGACTGAAGACAAAACCAAGAGTGTTTGACCAAAAAATAAAAACAAGAGTGTGGGGAGAAATGACAGTTGTACCCCTCCGGTTTTTTCGCGTGTCTGTGTGATTTAGTAAGGGTAGTAAGGTCAATTTGCTGAGTAGCTTCTTAACACAGCTATCATTTCCTTGCGTTTTTCACTTAACCAAATAAGTTTGAAAAGTTTCTCGATATTTTGACAATTTTTTTAAACTTAAATTATGTTTAATAATAAATTTTATTAATATTATAGATTTTATTATTTTCTTACCAATAATTTAAATATGGATTTGATTTTTAAACATTAAATTATGATAAAATCATTTTTTAATTTAAAATTCTATTAAAGAATATATATGTATATATATAAAATTATAATCTTAGATAAATTTTTCTGTCCATTTATATTGTTTAAATATGTTGAGTAAATTTGTATATAATTAATAAAAGTGATATAAAATTGTATAATTATCAAAAATTAAACTAAACAGCATTCACAAATTTTGTAGATATATAAAAAAATAATGATTTTACGACTAAAAATTTATATTTCAAAAAATTGTAACAATTTTTGAAAAATTTAGTAATACAATTTTTATAATATAAAACATAAAATAGAATATTATTTTGAAATTTGTAATGTTATATTTGAATATATTTATTTTAAAGATAATTATGAGTTATTGCCATATTTTGTTTTCTTTTTAGCCAAATTCGTGTGTAGGCTGTGTTACGTATTTGTCTTTGCGTTCGGAACGTTCGTAATCTGAAGGAAATATTGTTTGTTTCTGTTCACGGAAATAGAACGAAAACGGTATGTCTGTTTTGAAATCCATTTCTCTGGTTGTAATAGAACTGTAAAGATCCAATCCTAATTCGTTTGAACCCTAAAACCCATATTTTTAGTTATTTGAATTTTCATTTTTGTTACAGCAAAATTGGTCGTGAAAGTTTGAGAGATCGAGATGTTATTATGAATAAGAAGGACATGATCAGCGAGTTGCCTGAAGCTTTACTTCTACATATACGATCTTCAGTTCCAGCAAAAAATGTCATAGCCACTAGTGTTTTGTCTAAACGGTGGAGATCTCTTTGGAAGATGGTTCCAAAGCTTGAGTTTGAATTTGATACTGATCTTGTCTCTTCAGAGGATGTTTACAGATTGCTGATTTCACATAAATCTCCGTTTCTGGAAAGTTTGCATTTGAACATTGAAGATAAAAAGGTCGTTTGCATCTGTTTGCAACCTTTTATCTGGATGCCCTAGGCTTCAAGATTTGGTTGTAAAACGGTTTGGTAATATCGATGCGGAGACTTACATTATTGCGGTGCCATCATTGCAGAGGCTAACCATAGAAGAGAATTATAACATGGATCTAAGTGGTGGAGGCCATGTGATAAATGCACCATCTTTGAAATACTTGAACATCGAATGCCTCAGTTATATTGACTTCTGTCTGATTGAGAATGCGCCAGAAATGGTGGAAGCAAAGATCACTGATGTTTCTCATATAGCCAATGAGAATATTCTTACATCTCTAACTTCAGCCAAGTGTCTTTCCTTTCACTTACCCTTAAAGGTAAAATTTGACACCGTTTTTGTATCTACCATCTGGGCAAACATTGTTTTACTGTACTAATGTTATACTATCTAACCACAGATTGAGTATACTACTGGTAGCATCTTTTATCAGCTGGTATCTTTGGAGCTAGATATAAATGAAATAAATGGGTGGAATTTACTTTCGTTCATGCTTGATAGCTCTCCTAAATTGCAAATCCTCAAACTCGTAAGCGTAAGCAATTACCACAAGTTATTTCCTTTTCTTTTTTATTCATATATATTTTGATGATATAATATCAATTTTTTTATCAGTCATGTCATGAAAAGTGTCCAGTGGGATGGGAATGGAATCAGCCGAAATGTTTGCGTCTCCATCTGGAGACATTGGTGTGGACAAGATACAAATGGCAACGAGAAGATGAGAAACAAGTGGCCACATACATACTCAAGAATGCTAGACAGTTGAAGAAAGCAACTTTCCCCACAACATACATCGAACCGAAAGAGCTGGAAAAGTTGGAAAAGAGACGAGAGATGCTCAGCGAGTTGACGAGTGTGGCCAGAGGGTCGACCTCGTGTCACCTTGTGTTCGAATCCGAATGATCTCTAGAATGTTCACTGATGTTCTTGGATACTTAAGTGGTAAGGGTCTGGTGGATTTTGATTGATTATTAGACGTTGTTGGCTTGTTGGTAAGACTGTTGTGACATCTTTTTTTTTTTTTTTTTTTTGTTTTTGAACACAAACTGTTGTGACATCTATTTAAGCTTTGGACGCTCAACTGTTGAGGTACTCTTGTTTGTTTGTAGATTCTAAAGTACTTATTTTCTTTTTGGTGTTCTAAAATCAATTTTGCATCCAATCAAAGATTTAAGTAAGTAAATTTTCTCTGTTTTAGGAAAAACATATTTTCAACTCTTTAACCATTTTGTACGTAAAATCCAGTATCTACATATTAGGGGGTTTTACTAGTACCATGAGTTTTTTTCATTTTCTTGCAATACATTGATTATTTAAGAATTATTCTTGTGTTTACTCCTAGTTGAACCTATAAGTTCATAATTAAAATGACAGTTAACAAAAATTTGCCAAGTCATATTTTTTTATTAAAAAAAGAAATAATAGATAATCAGAAAATATTATTAACTGTCAAACAAAGCAAAAAACTTTATGCTCACTTAGCAAATTAAACCCTAAATCTTAGAGGATGAACCATGAATCTTAAACTCTAAGAAATGTATCCTAAAGACTAAGTAGTAAGTAATGAAGGTCTGGGTATTTTATCCGGACCCGAAAATCTGAATCGGAACCAACCCGAAAATCTGAATCGGAACCAACCCGAAAATCTGAACCGGAACCAATCTGAACCGATATGGGTCTAAAATTTCTCTATCCAAAAGAACTAGAAGCGAAAAGAACCGACCTAAAAAGAACCGATATAAATAGACCCGATCCATTAAAAAATTGTTTTATACCCGACCCATTAAAAAACTGTTTTATACCCGACATAAAAGTATGAATATCCAAAATTATAATTCATGTGTTTATATTCCATATTTTAATTTATGATTTAGTTGAAATATTTTTTTGGTTGAATAATATGCAATTTTAGATGGTAAATTTACAGTGTAAAAGTTTTTTAATTTTAATATTAGTTATTTTACAAAAAAAAAATATAGATAAATATGATGGATTTTAGTAAATACAATCTATTTTGGTCATTTCAGATTTTTCAGATCCTAAATACATGTATCTTGCTTAGACTTGTTATAGATCCGAAAATTATAAGTATATTAATTATAAATTCGAACCAACCCGTATCTGAGAAAACCCGACCCAAACCCAAAATAAAAATTTTCAAGTACCTATTGAATTCAAATATTCAGGACTCAAAAAATTCGGATCAGAAAATAACTAGTCTGAACCCAAACGCATCCTAAGACTCAAAAAGAACTGGTCTGAACCAGATCCGAAGACCCATCTTCCCGAACGCATCCTAAGAATTTTAGCTTTTGGTTTTCACAGCGTAATTTTTAAAATAAAGAAAAACAGTTACCCCCACCCTACATCATACTTGAATCCTATCCGAATTAGGTAAATCGGTTCGGTTCCATTGTTTTGGTTTTTGAGACCAAATATGTTTGATTGTAAACCCAAAAGAAAACCGGTCGGTCTCAGTAGCCCCTAAATCTGTTCCACTGTTGTTTCTTCGTTTGTTTTTCCCTTTTTGCGGCTTCTTGCTCATCCTTTTACTACTAATTACTAAACACGAGTGAAGAATTTTGATGCTAAATCTTCTCCAGTATTAGTAACATCTCTAAGCTTTAGCCAGATTCGTGTCTAGGCTGTGTGTTGTGTGTTTGTCTTTGCGCTTGGGGCCTTGTTAATCTGAAGGAATTATTGTTGCTTCTGTTCACGGAACTGTAACAAAAACGGTACATTGTCTATTTGTTTGAAACCCGTTTGTTTATGTGCTTTGGTCGGAATCCATTTCTCTGGTTTTAATAAAACTGTAAAGATCCAATCCTATTTTTTTTTAAAACCCTAATAAAACCAAATATATTTCTTTAGTTATTTGCAATTTTTTATTTTTTTTTGTTACAGCAAAATTGGCGGTGAAAGTTTGAGAACAATGAATGAGGATAGGATCAGTGAGTTGCCTGAAGCATTGCTCCTGCATATATTGTCATTAGTTCCAACAAAAGATGTCATAGCCACTAGTGTTTTGTCTAAACGATGGAGATCTCTTTGGAAGATGGTGCCAAAGCTTGAGTTTGAATTTGATACTGAACAGGTCTCTTCAGAGGATGTTTACAGGTTACTGCTTTTGCATAAAGCTCCGTTTCTGGAAAGTTTGCATTTGAACATTGAAAACTCAAAAGGTCGTTTGGATATTGGGATATTGATTGGAATTGCATTTTCACGCCACGTGCGTGAACTGGTGCTGGATTTCTACCATAAGGATCAAGAAACAGTCAAGTTTCCGAGTGTATTGTGTAGCTATAACAACACACTAGAGGTGCTGAAGCTCGAGTATCACGTTCTCTTAGACTTCCCTTCTCGGGTCTGTTTCAATGCCCTTAGAGAGCTGCATCTTTACGAAGTGGAATTCAAAAACGAAGCATCTGTTTGCAACCTTTTATCTGGATGCCCTAGGCTTCAAGATTTGGTTGTTACACGGTTTGATAATATCGATGCGGAGACTTACACTATTGCGGTGCCAACGTTACAGAGGCTAACCATAGAAGAGAATAGTAGGGCAGATGTAGATGGTGGAGGCTATGTGATAAATGCACCGTCTTTGAAATACTTGAAAATCCAATCCCTCTGTTTTATTGACTTCTTTGTGATTGAGAATGCGCCAGAAGAGCTGGTGGAAGCAAGGATCGGTAACATTCCTCATATAGCAGCCAATGAGAACATTATTGCATCTCTTACTTCAGTCAAGCGTCTTTCCTTATCCTTACCCTTAGAGGTAAAACGTTTTTAACAATGTTTTTTTAATCTACATTTGTTTTGTTAGTACTTAATACTAATGGTTAACCATTTATCAACAGATTAAGTTTCCTACTGGTACCATCTTCTATCAGCTGGTGTTTTTGGACCTACGTATAAATGAAATAAATGGGTGGAATTTACTTTCCTTCATGCTCGATAGCTCTCCTAAATTGCGAGTCCTCAAGCTCGTAGTCGTAAGCAATTACCATCCAGAGCTTCTTTTTTTTTTATTCATATATTTTGATGTATCTAAGTGTGTTGTTGTTGTCAGTCATGTCAGGAAGATTGTCCGGTGGGGTGGGAATGGAATCAGCCGAAATGTGTACCAGAATGTCTGTTGCTCCATCTGAAGATATTGGCGTGGATAATATACGGATGGCAACGAGAAGATGAGAAACAAGTGGCCACATACATCCTCAAGAACGCTAGAAAGTTGAAGAAAGCATTTTTCTACACAATGCGCATTAAACCCGAAGAGCTCGAAGAACTGGAAAAGAGACGTGAGATGCTCAACGAGTTGTCTAGTGTTGCCAGAGGGTCTACTTCTTGTCAACTTGTGTTCAAACCAGATGATCTCTAGAATGTTCACTGCTGTTTTGGCAATTGGGAAATTCTCAACTTGTTGAATCTTTCTAGAAGTCTAGTAGATTTCTTAAGTGGTCAGAGTCTGGTGCATTTTGATAATTTAACGTTGTTGGTAAATCACTGTTGTGACATCTATTTAAGCTCTTTTGGTAATTTGGGAATGGAACTGTGGCTGATGTTAAGAGTCATTGCATTATATCGGAATAATGATATAATCTTTTGGAAAAAGCATAATCCTAAAGAAAAACTTGGGTTGTACAATCTGAAAAACTTGTTATATGTTCTCTACAAATCAACCTTTATTGTTTATTTTATAGAAAATTGGAAAATAAATTTCTATATATAAAGTAAAAGGGAAGGACAATGTACAAGGGGACCATAACAGTTAGGCAAAGTAAAGGAATAACCTAACCTCAAAGAAAAGAACTTATGAAAAATATATTTTTGTTCATTAGTATATAAACAAAATCGCTTGGATCCCTCTTATCACCAAAACTAATATCCTTATACCATATCCTATTAAAATTTATAAGTACCTATTGGATCTAAAATTTCTCAACCTGAAAGAACTGGAATCGAAAAGAACCGACCCGAAAAGAAACTCTATGAATTGTTTTATATCTGACATAAAAAATATGAATATCCAAAATTATAATTCATGTGTTTATATTTCTATATTTTAATTTATGATTTAGTTTAAATATGTTTTTGTTAGCAATTTTCATTATTACTTTTATAGCATTTTTCAAATAATATGAAATTTTAAATGGCAAATTTAGAGTGTAAAAATGTTTAATTTCAATTATTAATAGTGTAATATTAGTTATTTTACAAAAAGAAAAGATAAAATATGATGGATTTTACTTAAATAATATTAATCTATTTGGATATTTTGGTTCTTTTCAGATTCTAAATATCTAAATCCTATTCAGGCATGTTATAGATCCGAAAATTATAGACATTTTAATTATAAATCCGAATCAACATGTATTCGAGAGGAACCGACCCAAACCCAAATAAAAAATTCACAAATACCTATTGCATCTAAATATTTAAGATCCGAAAGATTCGGATTCGAAAAAATAAATCTGAACCCGAACGCATCCTAAAAAAAAACCGGTCCGAATCCGATACTAAGACCCGAACGCATCCTAAGAGTTTAGCTTATGGTGTTCACAGCGTAATTTTTTTAAAGAAAGAAAAACAGTTACCCCCACCCTACATCATACTTGAATCCTATCCGAATTAGGTAAATCGGTTCGGTTCCTTGCTTTTGGTTTTTTTATGGTCAAGCTTTAGCTCAGACCAAATACATGATTGATTGTAAACCCAAAAGAAAACCGGTCGGTCTCAGTATCCTCTTTGACTTGACTTCTCGTCTCACTGTTGTTTCTTCGTTTGTTTCTTCCTTTTTGCGGCTTCTTGCTCATCCTTTTACTACTAAACACAACTACACAAGTGAAGAATTTTGAAGCTAAATCTTCTCCACTAACATCTTGAGACCAAATCTCATTCTGTTTCATCTTTTAATTCCGCAATAAGTTAACAATGTATTTTTAATCTACATTTGTTTTGTTAGTACCTAATAGTTAATACTAATGCTTAACCATTTGTCAACAGATTAAGTTTCCTACCGGTAGCATCTTCTATCAGCTGGTGTTTTTGGACCTACGTATAAATGAAATAATTGGGTGGAATCTACTTTCGTTCATGCTCGATAGCTCTCCTAAATTGCAAGTCCTCAAGCTCGTAGGCGTAAGCAATTACCATCCAGAGTTTTTTTTTTTTAATTCATATATTTTGGTGTATCTAAGTGCATTGTTGTTGTCAGCCATATCGCGAAGATTGTCCGGTGGGGTGGGAATGGAATCAGCCGAAATGTGTACCAGAATGTCTGTTGCTCCATCTGAAGATATTGGCGTGGATAATATACGGATGGCAACGAGAAGATGAGAAACAAGTGGCCACATACATCCTCAAGAACGCTAGAAAGTTGAAGAAAGCCACTTTCTCCACAATGCGCATCAAACCCGAAGAGCTCAAAGAACTGGAAAAGAGACGTGAAATGCTCAACGAGTTGTCTAGTGTTGTCAGAGGGTCTACTTCATGTCACCTTGTGTTCAAACCAGATGATCTCTAGAATGTTGTTAACTGCTGTTTTGGCAAATGGGAAATTCTCAACTTGTTGAATCTTTCTAGAAGTCTAGTGGATTCTTAAGTGGTCAGAGTCTGTTGCATTTTGATGATTTAACGTTGTTGGTAGATGACTGTTGTGACGTCTATTTAAACTTTTTTTTGGTAATTTGGGAATGGAACTGTGGCTGACGTTAAGAGTCATTGCATTATATCGGAATAATGATATAATCTTTTGAAAAAAGCATAATCCTAAAGAAAAACTTTGGTTGTCCAATCTGAAAAACTTGTTATATGTTCTCTACAAAGCAACGAATTTCTCAACCTTTATTGTCTATTTTCTATAGAATTGGAAAATAAAGTTGTATATAAACGGGAAGAACAATATAGAAGGGGACCATAACAGTTAGGCAAAGTAAAGGAATAACCTAACCTCAAAGAAAACAACTTATGAAAAATAATCATTTGTTCATTAGTATATAAAGAAATCGCTTGGATCCCTCTTATCAACATAACCAAAATTAATATCCAAAAACAAACCAAGAAATTCAGAAATGGAGAGAAAAGCTGATCATGCTACTGCTAAACGCATCTACGATGAATTCAATCCAGTCTTTAATTGGAAAAGTGAACAAGAATTCGAAATTCTAACAATTGAACTTCCAGGTTATTACTAATCAACAATCTCTCGTATAACTCTTTCCTAATGATTATTGTGTTGATCGGTTCTTGATTATAACAGGGTTTAAGAAAGAACAACTTAAAGTGCAAGTAACCTCAACGAGGAAGGTGAGAGTGATGGGGGAGCGTCATGCAGGTGCCAACAGATGGATCCGTCTCCACAAGGAGTTCCCTATTCCACCAAACATCAACGTTGACTCCATTGCTGCCATATTTGAAGGCACAAATCTTGTTGTGAAGCTCCCTAGAGTAAAGCCAATAGAGCAACAAACTTCTCCCATTGGTACAACCGCAAAACCTCCCCCGGTTCACAAGGGAACCGAAAAGGTTCAACCACCAAAGCCAACAATAGAGAAACATGCAGAGAAAGCTCAATTGCCAAAGCCATCTAGAGAGGAAGACAAGAAAGAAGAAGGTCTTAAAGCTGAAGAAAAGGGAAACGTTTGTGATGGAGTTAAGCAAGATTATAGAAGTAAAATGCATACATACAAGGAGAATCTTGGAGGATATATGGCAATGATGAAGAATAATCAGAAAGAAATAACAATTGGTGTGGTTGCGCCAGCGGCTGCGGTTCTGTTGCTGTCGATTGGATTCTATGCTAGTCACATGTTTACTTCTTAATAACCTCTTTCCACATTTCTCAAAAGGACGAGTATAAGAACACATAATTAATAAACAACCATCAAAGGAAGAAATGTTGTTCTGAATATTCTACAAACACCTTGTCAAAAACAAAAAAAAATGAAATAGAAATTCAAAGTCATGCAGTTAATCTTATACGAAAATAAAAAAGTCCGATGATACTATAGCTAACTCATTCAACCTCTCCTAAGCTACAGCCTAATTAATCAGATGGAAATGAAATCACCGTATCAGTTGTCACAACCAGGGAACCTTTTTATCATTCTAGATTTTAGTTTTTTTTTTTTTGTTTTCTGCCTAATTTTTTAACTTATGTAATATTTGGTTGATTTTCCTTTATGAGTATGCAAGGTGAGTGATAGAACCGTAATATATAAACTATAGGTAACATCTGAATATTGTAAAAAAAAATAAAATGATATGATTATATCAAAAATAATAAAAAGATGATACAGTTCATAAGTATTACCTTTTTCTATGATTTTTTGACGTAATAAGACTCACATGATACAACTGCAGAAATAACTAGCGTCAAGCAGCAGTGTTGGCAGCGAGGTCTTAACTCTTGTGTTCGAGAGAGTGTTTCAATTAGGGCGAACTCCTCTCAAATATCTACTTTGAAAAGTCTATCTTTTTTTGCATGTAGAATTTGATACATTAATTAATCTGAACAATAGGATATGTAAATTGTTTGAATTTGGTGAAGGTGGGGTATGCAGCAAATGAATATGTCTTCGTTTTCAATCCATTTATAAGAATTTCAGAGATATTACGATTTTTCATATCCTTACAACACAAATATCAAGATGGGTAAAAAAAAATATATCAAGATGGGTAAATTAGCATGAAATACACTAAATCAGGCAACGAATATCTAACTACAGTTAGATATAAAATTTCCAATTTGAATTATTAAGTTAAAAGTTTATTATTTATTATCAAAATATGACCTCTTTTTATTTGAGTGCAAATACTTTTGTTTAGTTTTATCAAAAAACTAATATCCTAAGTATGACCCATTTTCATTGTCACGGTGCAATTAACCTAATAATTCATAAATGATTGACAGGAGGGCGGTCTAAATGGGGTTCCATACATTATCAAATCTCTTAAAAGTTCCTCAAATCCACACATATTATCTAATAATATAATATTGAACTAAAACGCACATTATATAACTTTCTAAAGTAAGACACCTCTCTCTAGAATTTTTCTCCAACCTCTCTTTAAAAAAGTTTTCCATCAAAATTTAACGTCGGTGGCTTTTGCCAGTCGATTACCATCTTTTCTTTTTGTTTTCTGTATGTAACTACTTTGATCTGTTGAACTATGCGAAGAATATTTTTTGTTAAAGAAATGTCCAAACTTATATGAAAAATATGCATTTTACTCTTTGAGTGTTTTTATTTAATCTTTTTAAAAATTACGAGTTTCGCCATTTTATCTACAAAATATATATTTATTATACAATTTATCTCTAATATTCTTCGCACGGTAAAAAAAAAGATGCAAACAAAACATCTGCAATGAGAAACCATAATATGCTTGTCCTGGATATAATGTCAAACTGTCAAACCATATAAAAAAACTCCCCTGAGTTTAATGTTGAAAAATATGGTAAGCTGAGTTAATCTTTGCTCTTTTGTCAAAAGACACTCGTTAATATTATTGATATTGCACCTGCATATTACTAAAATTGAAGAGAAAACATGTTAAACACAAGGATAAAAATGTTTTAGACTATCCTAATCAAAACAATCTCCAAATTAAATTGCTTTACAGCTTCACCCAGATGAATAACCTGGAGAACAGATGAACAACACATAAGAACCTCAGGAACATGATCCCACTAGAACGAGGTTTTTGTAAAACCTTTTTTTTTTGGTAATTATTTTTGTTGTAATCATATTTAACGTATAGGCAGATTTTCAAAGCAAGAAATAGAAATGAAAATATAAGATTTTGATTGTGTTAAAATCTCGCGAGAGTTTCAGGAATCAGACCGAGAACAATCTAGAAAACAACAACATAGAGATTCCAAAACGTTACAAAACGAAAGTAAAATCAGATAACAGCCAAGCATACGCATTACTCGAACAAGCTGAAACCCATGTCATCATCGGATTCTTCTTCTAAAACTTGTCCATAGTTCTTCTAAATACTTGCATAAAATTAGCAAACGGCTCTGTGTTTCAACATGTTCTTTAGAGAAAGAAAAAAATGCAGAAAGAGGAGGCCTATTTATTCCATTGTGTTAAATCTGCTTACTTGTTATAAGTCTGTTGTGTATTGCAAGTGATCAACAGTATTGTCTCACGGGAGGTCATGAAAAATGAAAGAAAATGGTTAGTTAGATTATTAGACAGACACATGCTTCGTTAGTGTTACAAATTTTGCATATCTACCAAGTATAGAAAAAGAAACAAACAAAAAATCTGCTTCTCTGTTAAATTACTGCGTTCATGTGATAAAAAAGTGTGCCTATAAAGTTGTGAAAAATGGATGCCCATACTTCAGTTGAGTGAAGACGCTAACCGCCTTGGAGTGTACTTCATTCGATGGAGTAGAGACCTAACAATATCATTCTCTGCCGAAATTTTACTGAGAGAGGTTGTTAGAAGCAAAAAAAAAATATCTATGCCACAATGACCTAGTAGTTCCCTTTATTAGAAGGGGGTACAGGGTTCAAACCCTGGTTTGTGAGATGACAGTAGAGGTGGATTCGACCACTGACCCACTTGCTTCTAGCTCAAAAAAGAAGCATTATATCAATTTTTTTTTATAAATTCTATCGACTGATTCGGTCGGTTCCAGAAAGAATGCAATTAGTGCTACATAATAGATTGGCTATCACACTACCTGGTCCGAGTTTGGACTATCTTCCCCCCCAATGTTAGGGGATATTTGTGCAAAGTTTGAAAAACGGAAATAAATATTCATAACTGTTATAAGTGGAGAGGCCATAAAGAATTTTTTAATCAAAGAACAAAAGTTAGATAAAATTCAAACTTGCAATTTGCAAATCCACTAACTTAGTGCCAACCAAATCAAAAATAAAATAAAATAAAATCTGCTTCTTAATTTGTGAAGTTATTCATTTCATGTGAAAAATGTTGTGCCTATAAATTTGGTTTGGATTCCCATATCATCAATAATGAAAATGGAAGCTCTTGGAGTTTTTGGACCAAAACTTGGATCCAACCTCACCTTTCCTTCTCAACCCAATTTATTTACGGCATGCAACCTCTATCGCTTTCCGGTGACCACACATCCTCGTAAGCTTGCACATTTTGTTCCTTTGAAAGCGACAGCTAATACTCTGGCTTGTGAAGATGAAGAAAATAATCGAAATTTCATAAAGCTAGACCCTTCTAAGTGGGATCACCAATCCCTCCTTGCTAAGCTGGATATCTCAGTAAGTCTCTCTGATACGAAATCCTTTTTCTTTTTGGTTATATATATATATATACATGAAGTCATGGGTGTATAATTTCTTTTTCTGGAAGGAAATGGATGCTCTTGGGAGAGAGATAGAGGCGCTAAAGCCACAAGTGAGGAACATGTTCATGTCTTCCAAAGGCATTAAGAAGAAAATTCTTTTTACCTATTTGCTTGTGACACTTGGTCTCGCGTATCATTTCGAGGATGAGATCGCGGAGACTTTAAAAGATGGTTTCCAAAAGATAGAAGAGATGATGGCAGGTGAAGATGATTTGTACACGGTTTCCGTCATCTTCTATGTTTTCAGGACATATGGTCATAACATTTCTTCTGGTAAGGATTCTCTGGCTAGGTTTACATGATATAACCTTTTTAGCACACGTGACTTACGCAGTTGGGTATCCAGAAAAAAAAATTCTACTGGGTGTACAACTAAAACAAATCATTTAATGGAAGCAAAACAAAATGGAGAAAAATATAGAAAAATTGTTGGGATAAAGATCCCACATCGAATATATGTAAGGGACTTGAGTAATATATAAGGGACTTGGACCAATTGGCAATTAGTGGATTGGTCCAAGTCCCTTATATATTACTCAAGTCCCTTACATATATTCGATGTGGGATCTTTATCCCAACACCCTCCCTCGAGATAATGGTGGGTCTAACCATTAATCTCGCAGAATCCATCATACCCCTACCGAGACAATGCTTTTTCTTCTAGCAATCTCGATAGAACTGAGCCTTCTCTGGGCCATCAGCTAATGGGTTGATCGGGCCACTCCGGGCCGGATTAATGGGTCAGGGTGTGGGCCCGCTCTGATACCATGATAAGTTTCTTGGGCTTCCAACTTAAAACCAATTGGCAATTAGTGGATTGGTCCAAGTCCCTTATATATTACTCAAGTCCCTTACATATATTCGATGTGGGATCTTTATCCCAACAAAAATGGAGAAAAATATAGAACGCGAGTGATGAACCTCAACCAATTTAAAAATCCAAAATCAGAAAAAATGCTTTCAGTATTATATACTGATTAAATATCAGAAATTTGACTTTAATAATGTTCCTATTAGAAAAAAAAAATTCCTATTAGATTATTTGGTTTGTAGGAGATATATAATTTTTTTCCACGATGTATGAGACATATAATTATATATCAACGAAAGTAAATGAACTTCTAGTTGTAATTCCATAAAGTATATCAAAATGTTCTGAAGTATTAAGAAAAAAAATATAGAGATGAAATCCCTTGTAATAGAAATAAACATTCAAATTTTATATTTATATATGAATTATTAATTTATAATTTAAATGAGAAGATATATTTACACAAGATTTATTTATTATTATCTTATTGTTTATCGAATTTTCATATTCTAAATCAGCAACTCAAAGATGGTGGAATTTACATATTTATTGTATTATTAATTTATTGAATATTTCTTTATAGAAAATTTGATTATATCCTTTCTTTTTTTTATAACATCTAACTTTATTAATTTCAAATCAATGTAACAGATTACATGAAACATAA